CCTGAAAATTTTTTTTCCGGACAATTTTTTTCGGCGACCACCACACCCCCGGTCGCCAAAAAAATTTCGGTAAGTGTACCATTTTAGGGGGTAAAAATTTTTTTCCGGACATCACCAATTCTCTCCGTTTATCAAAGAAATTTTTCTAAAATTCTGAAAAGTTCTTGGATTTTCTAAAATTTTAAAAATATACCTTTTTTTCCAAATTGACGGTTATTTTTGTAAATTAACTTTCTCTGGTCCTAGGAATTACTTGAATTTGCGTTGATTTACCTGAATTTCTTCTGCAAACTTACCTGAATTTACCTGAAATTGCTCATATAGCAATCATCAGGGGGTGTTACACCCCCCACCCCCCGGTCGCTACGGCCCTGCTTAAAGAATGAGTCTCATATAGTAATGCATTGCGCGCTCAATGTTTATGTTTCCATCAGTCACGTCATAGTTGACGTCACAGTTCACGTTCTCAAATTTTTATAATTTGCATAATGTTGCATCTTTTGCGTTCAAGTTGATTGGAAAATTGTCGAGTTTTGCGAGAAACTGCAGAACGTTTTTGATATGTCCTCATCACACTCTGATGAGGATAGAAATGTATCGCAATACGACATTGAAGACGATCTATATGTCTATGGATCACCCGTATACTCGACGCAAGTAGCATCCGATACGCAACCTTCTTTGCCAGCAGCGAGTCATGTGACTCATGCTAGAACACAGGTAAATAATATTTCAATAGATTTGTCGTTTTTTATTATATATTCTGTATATTTATATAGTGAAATTCGTTTCATTGTAGTTTTGTAATTGCAAGAATACATGCAGTAAACGCAGCGGCAGAAAAAGCGAGGTTGTCCTTGCCGAGATGAGGAATTGAAATGCGTCGCTGGCTGCACATGTGGAACAAAGAAGGCAGCGTGCAATAATAAACAAGGAACAGCAGCTGTCTCGAGTGCTGGTATGGTTGAACGTCACCAGATCGCAGTGGAGGAAGCTTGAATGCAAATTACAGTAGGTGTTTTTATTTCGAATTTCTGAATTTTCAAATGGCTGTGCAATATTGTAGCTTGTGGACTAATTTTTTAGGTCATTGTTTATTCATTCCCCACTGTATTATAACTGTAAATAGTATCCAAAGCTGTTATAATTATATATCACAATATCTACAGCTGTTCGTACATGTGTTACGACTCTTGCAAGAATATCCAGAAATATATGCTGATTGTTAAAAATACATAATACAGTTTGTCATAAGAGTTTCTTGTTTCTAGAAATTTATTGGAGGTCTAACAGTGGAGCAAAAAGACAAAGTACTCCTTGAGGTTTTGTCAAATGGGAAAGGCAGCCTTGACTATGCCAACAACCTTGTAGAATTTGGTGGTCATCCTTCAGATCCTCCTCAAACAAAGCCGCCATGGTGCACATCTGGAGTTTGCCAACCAATGCCAACCGAGGAGGAAAATAGGTCTTGCAAGAAAATACGGTGTGTCACATCATTCACGACATTTCAAAATTTGGTTATGGTTATTGTTATTAGGTTATGGTTATGGTTATTAGGGCTAGATGTGACATTAGGGCAGAGGAGCCAGACTATTCAACAAATAATAGTTTTAGAAAGGCTGCCTACCGCCAGTACATT